TATGATAGCTCTCCAAAAGCATATTTCCTTATTATTTCGTAGTCTGTCAACTGTTTGATTTAGAAAACAGTAATTTTGGATCATCAGATTTGTTATTGAAAATGTAATACTTTCTGATATGTCATTTGAACATATGAAAACTAATCAACATTATAAAGTTATACAATAACAAGTATACCATCCAATTAAATCAGACTTATATTTTATAGATGGGTCTAATCTATCAAGGTTGTGACATAGAAACTGCGTATTCAGATACTAGTTATCTGTCATGATGGCTAACATAAAATTGGAGTGAGGAAATTATTAGAGTCGACTATGCCAAAGCGTGCGCACAGTTCGAGCAGTCATTCAACAATTGTCCATGCAGTACAGAGAAGTGTTGACTCCTTGGTTAGAATCCACGCAGAGAGTGTAGTTTTTGATAGACCATAAATAACAACTCATAATCGGTTTCATTAACTTTAAATCTTTAGTGTTTACATTACTCACACTGTTAATTCCTTGTACTTTCGAACGATACTCTCAGAATTTAATTTTCCACCATTTTCACTGTTTTACTTTACAGTTTTATTAATTTTTTGTCTTTGTAATGACAATTTCGGCGGGTGAATTTCTGTCACAGGTTTTACATTTTTTATAACTGACTAAGATCTAATCGGACTCATCGTTAAGGAATAATATTCGATTAACCGCATGATAATAAATTGCAGTACTTGAAAAGAATCATAACAGTAATTCAAAAACTAGAAATTTACAAATAGAGCTGAATACATTGTACAAGTATTTACTTCTACTTTATTTCAATTAAATACTTTATCTTTTCTCATTATTACCAAACACATCTCAAAATAATCTCCGTACTGAACAGTCCGCCCTATAGTTATTTCTTATGAATGTAGATCATCTTCAAGAGAACTGCATGGATTTGAGTAGATGGTTTTCTCGTTAGAGATGATTTATATTGTACGATTTAGATACATTATCGTCATTAATACTATTTAGATGTACGAATTAATCATCACAATCTTAGTGTTACGAACGTCACGAATTCCGCAAACATCACGGTCCATAAATCAGTAGATTTAAAACGGATAAACCAACATCGTATCAGAATTAAACTACATCAAGTACATCTAAAGCTTATAGATGATACTCTTTGTTTCTAAATATTTAGCGAATTATATATGAGAAAGGTTTTTTCGATTGTTTCAATTAATCGTCCAATTAATAAAAGTAAAAAAACTGTGAACTAGGCAAATTTTAAACTGCATTAACTCCGTATAATCACAGTTCTAGTTTGAGTTTTTAAACCACTTCCAAACACAAAACAAATCTTTCGACAAAAAAATCATCATTGTGACGACTTTATTTTCAAATGATGTACCACTATATATGAAATTATAATCTAAATGATAATATGATTTCGTTAACTTGTGGAGTAAGGTCAATACTACTGAATAGTCAAAATGATCAGAAAATACGAAAATTATACAAGGCTAAAGGTCGAACACATGTAAGAGATTATGGTAGAATTTTCGTTCAAATTATGTAAATCAATGTCATTGTGAATATGAAATGTTATGAGATAAAAATAAAATTTGTAAATCTATGTCAAACACAACAAATTATACTGCACTCAAAAAGAAATACCCTTGAAGTTTAGGAAAAACAAAGACAGAGAAAGAAGAATATGAAAGTGTATAAGTAACCAGGGCTCAGACGTTAAAAAAGATCTTAAAGCCTATTTAACGTAGACGCAGAATTAGCTTGGAATTGAAGATAGCTAGAGCTTGAGTAGTGGTAAGCAGACAAATGCATATGGCTATGGATAGATATTGTTTACTTTTACAAATGATATCAAACAATTTATATAAGTTGTGTTCTGAGATTATACCATAGTTTTTCGTTTGCATCTACTAAGCCAAATCACTCTCGTCAGGGAATACTTCTGGACAAATAGATTTTACTGTTATCAGCTAAAATGTTTGTGAAAATATTCGAACTCATTATATTCTATAGTAGCAAGTTTCGCATTTTTTAATTTACAAAAAAGTAAAAAAAATTACTTGTGACTGATATTAACGTGATTAGTAGAACTACACTCATAAATAGGATCTATGTCAGGAAACTGGTTTGAATTTCGTGATAAATGGATGCGATAAGCTGCATCATTCAAGACCCTACTATACTTATTTCTGAATCCAACTAGTTCTGTATTCACAGTTTGGCACTACTATGTAATAACAACTGGGTAAAATAAAAACAGTTCGGAAGAAAAAAATTTATTGATGTTATTTTCTCAAGTTGTACAATGGTATCTACAGTTATTTTACACATATTAATGCATAATACAATTTAAAAATGTTGAGTCATTAGCACAGGTAACAAGAGTTAATCAAAAATTTTAAGAGTAATAAGAATGAAAACAACATAGAAAAGAGGTGTGGAAGTTAAGTGTTCACTTGGCGAATATATAGAGAAAAGAGACGGATACATATCATAACAATTTAAAATAAGGTGTTAGGATCATCGCTAAATAAGGGATTAGATATATCACTTTTGATCTCAAAGACCAACCATGAATTGACGAACCGTCAAACCCTTTGCTATACACATATTTTTCAATCGGATGCCCTTATAACCAGTTCGCTTGACTTCATGAATTATATAGAATTGAAACAGTTTAAAAATAAAAATAGTAGCTGGTTCGCATCCACATTTTGATAACCATACTCGGTAGTGTTCAGATATGCTTTTGGAAAGAGGATACATATTGGAGTTAACAACAACATATTCCACACGAGCAAATAAACTGACAGATGCACACGGAGGTAACCAAAGCAACGGTTCATCCTTGAATTAGTTACTGCATAATGCAATCCGTAGTTCAGTTGAATCGAGTATCTCACTCAACAATTTTGACAATGATTTCTTAAGATCACTGCAACTTTACTCCCTCGCTTTAAGCTCAATATACAAGAACAAAATCTTCAGTACTATTTCTTCTTTTTATTTAGCTCTCTCGTTTCAGTTATTTGTAAAAGAAATATGATAAATTCCGTTTTTATGAGTATTTCTCCGACTCTGTTTAGTTTTTTTGCTGAGTGTGCCCTCCGTGCGAACTCTTGTGGTTCTCAGCAATACGGAATGTAGTACGTTTATCTTTCTGCCTAGTGAAATCCAAATCTAGAAGTTCGTACGCTGTCAGTCTCATGTCGTTCTTCTATACACTGATCTTTGCAGAGACTAATCCGGTTTCCGTTTCATAAAAACATCAAAAAAGTGAAATTCTGTTCTCAACTCTGACTTTCTGATGGTACATGTGGAATTCTGTTGAGATCCCAACTCTCGTCACAGATAATGAAGATATCATCCATACATACCTCGTAAAAACAAAAGTCACTAAATGTTAATCGAATAATTGTATTTTCCAGATTGACTATTAAGCCTTCTGATAAGAGAAAACCTAGTAGCGACCTTAATGCCATACACATTTGTCTGTATAACTCATTATTAAATCGCAATTATACACTCATAGTGTAGTGTAACAGCGATTTCTTTAGATATTATTTTGGAATCCCAATGTTATCATTTGCAATCTATTCACAGTGAACAAATTGTCCCTGTGTAAGAGGAGTATTTTTGAGAAGTGAGGCGACATTTATTGAAGTCATTCTTTTTCCAAATACATTGATGTCTATGGAAGTAAATTAATTGTTGGCGCTATGTTTATTGATCTGATCTCTAGCTATTTAAGGAATTTGCACAATCCAGTTGTCAGTTGCATGGTATAGGGTGTTATTTGTATTCGTTATAGAACAAAGAGAAACATTTTTCTTGTGTAATTTTGGCAGTCCATACAGACGTGAAATCGTAGAACTAACAATAAATCATCGATGATGATTAATTAAACTTTATTAGGATTTTTCTGCATTTGTTCTATTCGGTAGGTTACATCCTTTTTTGTCGTTTCCCTGGGAAACTTGCGTGCATCCATTATTATGACGAATAATTGAATTGCAATACATGAAGACGATTTTAGCACATTTATGTAATTCAAGCAACACTAAATCCCAATTCTTTAAAACATAAGTTATTTGAGATCTGCTTTCTTCTTGACAGGAGTCATGTTGTAGCATATTTTGCACCTCTCTGTTACTTATCGGGTGTACATGAGTGTTTGATTCGGTCTGTTTTCGACACTTGATAACAGCGTCCCTTCACAGTAGTACGAGCACACTGTTAGGATTTATCTCGTTTGTCCTTAGATAAGTCATTGAGTCCGGGTGTATGATCAACCTTTCATCAACCTCGTCCCTAGTGTCCTAAGCTACGGTTTCACGACTCCATCTTCAATACGGTGAATGAGACTATTGTTATTGTCTTGTTCCCTGCCCCAATAACTGGAGTAAGACGTCCTGTTGCTGTATAGAGGCCTCATTGGTCAAAACTCAGTAGAATTCAAAATAAATTTAAGACAATCAGTTATATATTGGTTACGATGACTATAGTTTCTGAATTGAGTTATCAATGTGCGTAAATCATAGTGAAAAATGCAATTGAAAGTTCATTAACAGAATTCAAATTGAATAAATTAATATAACTAAAATTCATATTAGGTAGATGTTAACTTTATTCTAAGTTGCATTTAGGAATTTCACATCCATAACAGATACCCACACAGATAACTGTGATAAGATGAAAATAATAACCTTCGCTTACAATTATATTCTAAGTTTAACGTTTACCTGTGGACAGATGCTACATTTGTAAGAAATTTCACGACAGTAACAACTATTATTTTGAGGCCTGAAATTTTCAAAGCGCCTATTTTTTATTCAAAAAACTTATTAGGTTTTCCTCATCATGAAAAACAAACAAATCGACTTCAATGTGAATTACATGACATGGTAAAGGACTAAATTAAAGAAATGGAATAAGCTAACAGTTTCTGGATTCTTGTTTTAAGTATTCTAGATGAAAAACAATTATGGAATGCATTTGCCCGAGATTTTATTAATTTCCGAGATAAAAAAAGCAATTTACTTATATACAATGAAATAAAGTTATTCGCAAAAAGTCTTAGTCCATGAATTGATGTTACTCGGAACAAGCTACTTAATATTATTAAGTAGCCATACCACTTATCCTGTGCAAAAAATCCCTTCGGTTAACTATGACTTGCAAGTATGTCATTGAAGTAGATCATATTGGTCTGGATTTCCTTACATCCGACTGAATTACCGCATACTTTACAAGTGACCGGGTGATATTCCTTTATGACATTCCGGTTTGATTTCAAACTGCTTTCTGGAGATTTTTTCGCATTTTGTGGTTTTGATATCGTTCGAGATATGATTTGAGTTTCGTCCACAATACAATTGATAGGGTATTCTGTATAATACTGTGTCTTGAAATGTGGGTGCCTAAAATTAGAAAACCATATATAGTTTAAAATTTATTTATTCCTCAATGTTGCTAATCAAGAACAAAATTTTAAAGTATTAATATAAGAAAACTCATCACGCTTTAATATTATTCTAGTATGTCATGTTATAATGAGATTTGTCTAATCACATTCTTTATCATATTGATGCGATCCAAATCGCTTAATCCACTTAGCCTACCACGAAGATGTAAGGAGACGTTGAGTTATAAACCAGAAGTACCCAAAGATTAATTGTTATGCACCAAATCATCGTGAAAATGATTGACAGAGTATATGTGAATGAAGGCACGAATGTGAGCGACTATAAATGAACGGAATGATAGATACAAAGTCGCACTTTTTCGCAAACACTTCAATAATTATGTTCTGAAAATAGTTGTTTGAAAACCCATAAAGGGTTAATGCTAAAGTTATGACGAAACATGTGGTATTATCCAAGCCAGTAATGTACTTAAGTAGCTAAAATCCTTTATCCTGTATGCACAATTTCTAGTTAGGGTTTAATAATACCGTGGGTACCTACATATCTAAAATCAAAACCAGACATTTACGTATACAAGTATATCTTCGCTTAACCACATGAGGCTTAAGGTAGATTTCGATTATTCCCAGTCGTTACAAGAAACTTAATAGCACAGAACTACAACACATATTTCGGCTCAAATAAAGCCCAAACTTACCTATGACTAACTAGAGATAACACAGACATACATCCAGGACAGTTAAGGATGGCATCAGATTTTTCGCTCTTCCCTCCAGGGAGATTTTCTTGCACCCATTTAGCATTAGCCTCATCTTCTTCATAATCGCAAAGTGGATCTTTATCTACTGGAAAGTCATCTGTATGTGTTGAAAACAAATCATTAATAAGCAGAAAACATACCGTCATCGTCATGATCCTTTTTAAATCTCACTCTGAGATTTTTATTTTGCGTTTTTCCTGTTTTCAAATCCGTTGCTTTATGGTGAACGCTTCTGATCAGTAAATCAAGTTCTTTGTTCATTAATTCATCAAACTCCATAGCTTTAGCTTTGGAGATCTCGATCGCATTGACACTTCTGTTGTCATAACACAAATCACTTTAACGAAATAAAATGACACGAATGATGATTGATGATCATAAATTACCTGGATGAACTACTGTCAGACTCACAACCATCATAATCTGAGGAGAACATTTGGCTGTAATAAAAAGAAACGCCAAACAAATTAAGTGGTAAATGCGGTCAGATACCAATTGAAACTTGACATTTAAAACAACTCTAAATAATCTGAAGTATTGTTTGGGCGAAAGCATGAACTAAAAACCTTATATTGTAACAAAAAATGCCTCAGTAGTGTTTACAGTTAAAGATGGGTGCAACTAATAATGCGAATTCAACAACACTATTTAAACAAACTTTTCACTGTAGGTATCAATTTCAAGGTTGAATTTGACAGTTTCAAATAAATTGATCATTGGATAGAAAGTTAGTGGAAAACATTCTTTTTGTTATATCTCAATGAGCAGAAAATTGTATTTCCGACGTTTTGCGACTTAATGTAAGCCACATCTTCAGAGCACATAAATAACCGAATAAAATTAACACAGGTTCAAATGGTAAGAAGGAAACAATTAAGAATATTTTTAGTACAATCAAAATCATAACAGTTCTGAATATGTCAATGAACTTCTCACAGTATACCTATCCAGTACAATGTAGTAGTAATACAGTAAGATGTATTTCCGCATATGAATTGGTCAAAAAGTTTACCCTATCGCAATCGACCCTCAAAGCTTTTTACTACAAATTACAACGTATGGATGTCAAATCTTATGTTTCTAGGTTATACATTACACTCATACATTTACCGATACTTATACAGATTATACTGCTTTTGTATGAGTAGTTTGGTTTCCAGCTTACTAAGATGAATTATTTAAAAGGCTTCTGATTCTGTATTTACCGTAAAATTCAGATTTTCTGTGGAACATGGTACTTAAGAAGTTTCTGATTAACGTTTTGCATTATCCTTAATCAAATATTTTCATGGTGGCTGGCTTCTGTGTATCTCTATACCATATATATATATATATATATATATATATATATATATATATATATATATATATATATATATATCAATTAAACAAACAAATTCTGTTTAATCATTAAGATGGTATTCAATTGACACAATGGATAATGATATTAGAACGACTTCCCAATAAACCGTCCCACAAATTTGTATAGAAAATCAAACTACACACTGTTATACCCAAAAAACGTTATTGATAAATCTATTTGGTTTCATATTCCTTAATTATGAGCATCCAAGGCAATATAATAAAGTTATATATATTTCACTATGTAAGTGTTCCACTGTAGAACAATAGCGTATAATTTTGTTACGAACGAATTAACTAAACGAATAAGTCATTCTAAAATATATCTAAACATGAAAGATATTGAACACGTTCTGTTATTTAGCCTACCTACATTAGATTAATCGACTTACAAAGATAAAATTTGACCTGAATATTGACACAATCAAGAGGATAGGCAATAACTCAGTTTTTCTTTCCGGAGAATTTATACGTGATTATTAAAGTCGTAGACACACTATTATTTCTATACTTAGATGAAACATGGATAATAACATCTTTAATGCTTCCTAATAATAACAAGGAGTCAGACGAACATACTTATTTTTCAGAATGATTTGTAACGCAAACTAAACTGAACAAAGGCACCATTGATAACCAACCAACTCTCCACATACACACATGAAACGGGAGTATAAATTTGTCACTATGTACCTAACCGCAGCCATTGATCAAAATCACTAGGGTCGCACAAGAAAAAAATGAAGTTACAGATGTCGTTTCAGCAGAATTTAAGAACATGAAAGTAAGTCCAGATTGAAATCGCTAAATGCATTTACTGATACATGAAATTGGTAAGATTGCGGTCGGAACGAGACTATAATTTATGGGCGAACCAATCAGATATAAGATATCTGGTGAGAAACTCAGTCATCTATTTGGTTAAATAGCGTTTCTAGATTTTAGATGGTGTCATTTTGTGACAAAGACCCTAAGTCTAATTCCTAACCCAAACCATCAACCGTAAATCATAATTCTAATTCCTCACTATGGTTCATGACTCTCATTTAATCCTATATAGTAGGTGGACATGCTCAAGGTCACTTTGGCGTCGCTCAAAGGTCACCCATAAATTATAGTCTCACCACGGTCGGTCAGGATGCGATCCCGAGGCCTGAAAAGAGTACAAATGACAATCACATATGTTACCATCTGAATTGCCAAGTAACAGTTTGGAAAGCAATTTGTTCGTTTCATTGAGTTCTACAAATTGATAAATACGGAAACGTATTTGAAAGATATCGTCGAAGAATTACACCATGTTCTAAATTATGGCTTATAAATAGAAATAAATAAATTGAAAATAGGTTGGATTGGGTTGCTACACGTGTTAAAAACCTAGCTACAGGAAATACACAGTATGCGAAGTTTCAGAGAGCACGTGCACTTACAGATTAAAGAATTGCTTAAGAGGGGAAAAGTAGAAACCTCGGAAGTTTATTACCCTAAATCTTGCTTTACAAAGGTAACGAAAAGTCTTGGAATCGCTTAATTCTTAAAATGATGGTGAGAGTAAAAGATATAAATAACTTCCAAAAATATATAGAATTTCATCTTAATTTACAAATTTTCAACGAAACGCTCTTGAGGTTTCAAAACAAGGGACTATATCTGTCGTTTATGATCGATATGGCTACCAAACATTCTCTTATCTTAACCGTATTATTATTCTCAACTCCTAATACTAGTCTATGACAAATCTTACCCTAATCTCCAACTCTCAATACTTTCGATTATGTTTGATAATTCACCAGATATATCGAACTTTTTCTACACTGTGATTTCCCAGCCTCGATGCTTAAACTTTTGCTTATATATAAGTGTCAATTTTTAAGTGGTTTAAAACTCTACGGTTGTTGCCGAAGTATGCTTTAGAGATGTGGAATTATTCTTTACCGTCTACAGCCATTTGAGAATGGGAGAATGTAATAGGAAAAATTTACAAACTAAATCTTATTTGACATCTCAATGACGATTCAGTGTTTTCTACAAAGAGTTATAAAACACGTCACTTACCAACTCCGTTTGCCAGATAAAACCTCAGATCGAAGTGTGCAGTATTCTAAGTTGCAAACAATAAGAAGTTGTCATGAAATTAAGCAATTTCATCTGATAACAAATCAGAAACTACAAAGTTCAGGATAACAACATGAAACACAAAAATCGATGAGCAGACTTAACAACAGTAACGTAACGTACAAACGCTGCGCTTTTTTCTCAGTTTTATGTACAATAAGACAAATTGACTTTTATCCTACCACAAAATCGATGTGGCCATATTTGTTCTCCAGAATCTTGAAAATGGACAACACTTAAGAATATATTTCAAATATATGACATATTTTTGAGTCAAACAATATAGCCGATGGTCTCTATAAAAAAGATAGTGATCCTAAGCACGAACTGTTGTTAACATCCCTGAAACCAGAAACAAATTGGATACAAACACGTCAAGAAATCCTGTCGTATGGAATCTCTGCAATAAGAGGTCGTTCAATCGTGTCGAAAATTTATTGTCTCCATTGCACTGTACAAGTTATCCTACCCAGCTCTTTGATCAATCTTCACGTTCTTATTAGAACGACCTCGGTGGTATTATAGGAATAAACGAATAAGAAAATGGGCGTGTTCCCGTGTTAGCTGCCAAATATCTAACATGCGTAAGGATTCCAATTGGCGAGCAGAGTTGCAGCCGCTATATGGGAGGATGGAAAAGTTATCTTCATCAGCCAGGTCTAGAACGACCATCCTTTTGGCTAATGCCGCCACTTGTTGAGTCAATATTCTTTTGAGTTTCAAGGACTTCCTGATAATTTTCATTCCCGAATATCAGAGTTTGTGTGGTCGTGGTCTGCGTTTTCTGGCACATCGTACACGATGATATTTGCTCCGCGAATAAACGTCTCACAATGTTTCTTAAGAATGTTCCGCATCAGACTGCCCAGAATACGTTATATCAGGCAGTATTCTAAAATTCCCATCCGATTTCATTTAGTGCCTTTGATGACTATGATGCTTTGAGTCCTTTCCCCGAGAAAACCATGTGTGCCAGAGGCTCTATTTTAGACTATTCGAGCTTCGCTTTCGACTCTTCACAGAGCATCCTGCAGACTGAGGGGAAGGTCAGGTCTAACTTTAAGGTTCATTATCTTGAAACAGTCATCGCAAACCGTGATCGTCCACCCAGGTTTTCGTATACGTTCAGGTCGAGGACCTTGATGTTTGTTGGTTAAAGCAAGTTTCCGATTCCTTTGCTTTTTGTTGACTGGTTGGACAGAATTAGGAGTAGGTAGTTTGGTCCAATCACCAGTTTGTTTCACTCAATACCTGGGATGTTCTGCTTCTTGTACGGTGAAAACCGGTCCCTTTCAACTTTGTTGAAAGAGGTTCAATCGCCTGTGGAGCTTTTGAAGACAACCGTTGCATTAAAGGAACCTGTGTTTTAAGACCCAAGTTTGCCGAGGAAGTCTAGTACCGTCGATGATACGATGGCGTTAAGGTACGGTATGTCCTCACTAGTGTTAATACATGCCCCATCAATACTAACGTTGTCAAGGTCCCATTTCTTTTCTTCACTGTGCGCTTTTTTTGCTCAATCTAGGACTACCTTTCTTCAGGTTTACAGATAGCCGAAAAGTAAGTTGAGACAAAAGCATAGTTAACCATTGACTTGTGTCAAACTCAGAAAGAAAAATAATCTAACGAACGTAAAGCTCAGGACAGATCCTTTGAATAGAAATGGTGATTTTGTTGCGTGAAGATAAGGCGAAAGTTTGAGAAATGAAAATCACGTTATCACTAGACTTCCCGTTCGTAAAGTACACGTACTAGTCAAGTTGGCAACTCGTTGGAGAAACATAAGACGCTGTCGCACTTAGACTGCCTATTTACAGAGGAAGAATTTTTGGTTTACAACATTTCACTCCTGGATCTCCTGGGGAAAGGTGATCACGAAGTCATAGCCCTACGCTTCATCAACAAAACTGAGCTAAGACATCCTACCAACGACAGACACTGGGATTTCAAACGGTTGGATGTATCAGCTTAACGGGACAATCTAAAACACGTGAACTGGAAAGTTCGCCATCAACTTGATATGGACGTTCATTGAGATTTCTTACTGCACACGATCTTATGTGCTACCACCAACGGTCCCCAAATTCTACAGGGAAACTACGGTCATCAATGATGGCACTCTTCGTTTGCTAAACCTTAAGAGGCACTGCTGGGAGGAATACAATCGAACAGCTAACAACAGCGATTCAAACAAATAAGGAACATATCCACAAAGGCAATAAGAGAAGACGGGCTTCAGTACCAGATAAAGCTTAATGAAAAATTTGTCTTCAATCCGAATGCTTATCCCGTCATTCAGCCTCTCGACAAGCCAAACCCTAAGTTTTTCAATTGCTAGGGTCTAATGGCCCAACTAACAACAACGGTAATGCGGCTGACCATCTAGCAGAACAATACCCTCGGATATTTCTACCAACCAACATCAAATATATCGATGAAAGCCTAAGCTGTAACTCCACAGGACTTTTAGAAGTAAACCGGAGCGCTGACCTGATGTACCGGATGTACTTGATGTACTAAAATAGACACTTCTCCTGGCCAGGATATGGCCCATTTTGCTTCACGGAGTGAAACAGCTTCAATCTTGGTAACGCTGCTTGGTGTGATGTTCTTACATTCGCTGAACCGAGGCACATTACCGGAAATTCGGAAGTTGGTTTACATCACGTCAACTTTCGAAAGAGGTCTACTTAGCGAAACTTCAAGCTACCAGCCGATAGCACTTCTATCCATACTCTGAAAAATTATGCGACGGTCTGCACAACTACTTACTACCTATAAACTCATTTCCACACCATCAGAACGGCTTCAGGAAGGGTCATTCTTGTATAACCAACCATCTGAATGCAGTGGACAGATAAGCAACCACCCTTATCAATAAGCTCAAATGATTAGGTGTCAAATCAAGTTCGACTGATTGGCCCACTTCATATCTAACGAATTGACATTTTAAGGTCAGGGTTAACATCAATATCTCTCAGGATATAGAATGTCTTAGTAGGGTTCCCCAGTGTTCAGTACTAGGACCACTACTATTTGATCTGTATAAGTGATCTTCCACAGCAGGTATCGTCTGACGTATTACTTTTAGCTGGTGATGTGAAACTTCGGAGAGAGCAATGCAACCAAGAGGATAAAGTGGCATTTCAGGTGGATCTGACTCGACCTCAAAGTTGTCGAATGGCAACGCACTTACCTTTAACACTTCAAAATGTAAATTAGTATATCTGAGACATGTTGCAGAATACGGCTACAACTTAGGCAACTCGCCTCTAGAAGTATCCCAAGTTGGAAAAGATTTAGGAGTGCTGGTACCCTACGATTTGAAGTCTTACGCCAACCGAGACAGAAGTACTTTTGGATGAAGAAACTTTCATCATCATTTAGAGTACGGAAACAAAACATTTCTTCTTTCACCCCAAAACGATAAGTACACTCTGAAGCGTATCCAACGGCGAGCCACGAAATTTATCTCTTATAAAAGCGTCTCCAGTTGCTGAACTTTTACCGATTGAAATACAGGTGTCTAAGAAGTAACCTTTTAATGACTTACAGAATCCTTAACCCTTCTGTACATCCCTTTGAACACCTATCTAAGTTTAGTCCGAACACAAGTCTAAGCGGAAACACCCAGAAACTGGGGACACAACACGGGCAGGACGGACTGTAAACACATCTACTTCTTAAGAGTAGCCAAATACTGGAATTTATGTCCGGCTGAGCTGGTTCAAGAGACTTTCCGGTAGTCCTTCAAGAGAGAGCTTGACATATTTTTAAGGACTGAGGACAGTATGTTACCATGATTTACCAACTTTTTTCTTTTTCCTGTTTCATCGTTGATATACCTGAATTTCTACTTGAAGGAATCGGTGATCCACTGCCACTGGGTACGGAAGTCTGTCAAGCAAAAGATTCTTTCACTCCGTTTAGAACCCTCTGAACCATTTGGACATTTTACAGCCAGACCGTCATCTCTTTATATTAGTTTTATAAATCGCTGGTCAAGGACAAACTACTTAAGTAAGAAATAGACTAAAACATTTGTTGATTTATAGGTAAAGAATTGAATTTATTATTATATATAGTACCTATAAACAGTTTAGTCATAATTTGACAGAATAGATACAACTAGACCGGAATAACGGTACCATTGAATCGACACCAGAAATAGATTTCTTTTTAATCGGACTGGAGTCATACTGAGACTGGCATATAGAATCACTAACTGTTGTAATAGAATGAAATAAGACTGGGAACAGAACGACCAGCATCTGTATTGTAGTAAAATAAACCCTGGAATGCTTTAGACTAGTATAATCTGCGCTGTGTTTAATTGAATGCAAACTGACCAGATTGTAGCAATAAACAAATCCCCAGAATCAATAGATCTGTAGGCCTTCGACATCTGATGCTGACTGTGTTAGTTTTACTGGACTTACATATCTGAAGGCATTCGGTCATGAATCCGCACCGGATCATGAGTTGGTACTCCGTGCTTCACTTCGCCTACAACTGCTAGCCAGATTGGATTGATCACTGCTCGATATATTGATATTCTGTCAAATATGACTTTGAATCTCTTCGCTTCTGACTTCCGTTTTCACTGGGTTGGGACATTTTGTTTCCAAAATTATTACTGGTTAACGTAATGTCAAACTCTGAATACTTGTGACATCTTTAAGAGTATCGATGCTCGGGTCTCAAGTATTGATAGATCTATAAAGTAATAGAATACGATCGACAGGCAGACAAACAGATAAACGGACTACCAAACAAACGACTGTTACAAGGATTCTCATGAAAATGGACTCGAGTTAATCACACAGCTGTGCATTGCACCACTGCACTTGACACTCACAGTCATACTCCCAACCAAATATATGGTCATGTTCATTTAACATATCTGTATTAAATAACACACTTTTTATTTAACTTAGAGCCAGCCTAGTGGTCTAGTGGTTAAGCGCTGGCGCGCGAGACGGATAGGTCCCAGGTTCGGATCTCGCAAGGCGAGGTCGTGGATGCGCACTGCTGAGGAGTCCCACAATAGGACAAAGTGACCGTCCAGTACTTTCAGGTTCTCCATGGTGATCTAGCTTCATTTCACTTATGACCTCGACTTTTGAAATTACTACTACTTACTCACTTACGTCTGTTACTCCTCGTAAAGGAACATAGGCCGCTCACCAGCATTCCACATCCAACCCTGTCCTGAGCAATCCTTTCCAGCTACTTACAGTTCCTATTGATCCTTTTCATATCTGCTTCTATTTTCCGACGTAATGTGTTCTTTGGCCTTCCTCTTTTCCGCTTCCCTTCAGGATTCCAAGTTAGGGCTTGCTTTGTGATGTACTTTGATGATTTGCGTAATGTATGTCCCATCCATTTCCATCGTCTTTTCCTAATTTCTTCTTCAGCTGGAAGATGGTTTGTTCTCTCTCACAAAAGGCTGTTGCTGACGGTATCCGGCCAATAGATGTTGAGTATCTTGCGTAGACTATAATATCCACAAAAACCCTTCTCCGATTAGAGAATAAGTGTTCTGATCATTTTAATATTGAAGCTTGTCGCGTAAGACTGCCTTCATTTTGAAACTCTGTGTTTAACCGCATTAAGGATTAACTTAGGTTATGTGGTATTATTCACGGTACATATCGTGTGGTTACCTTTAAGTACAGTTTCCTGAAGCGTTTGCAAGCCATTTCAACGGGGTATTTGGACTTGACTTCTCAATCTACTGAGAACGCTGTTGAGACGATTTCTTACATATCCACTGTCCACGCCTGAATGTCTGACCATAATGGACACATGGTTGATAATAGCCATATTGAAGTCGAAACTGACACTATATTATCACTATTACCAACATGTGCATTTGAGATCTGATATATCCCCTTTATATTAGGTTAATATAAGGTCTTTCAACTACACTTCTAAGTCTGAGTTGTAGCTCCTTCGATATTTCACATGATGAGTAATGCAATTGTTATATTGTGAAACTCCAGTCATAGTGCTGTGCCATCTCAACCAAAAGGTGCGCGTAGTCTAATATTCGCGTTACGTCATCGACGTGTGAAGGTGTGTTTCCCACGTAATTTTGAGTGAAAATATATCATTTGTACATGAAAACAGCCACCTCTCAAACCTAAATAGCATAATCCAAGTTTCCAATTTACTTTGATATAAAATTCATCACTTTGTAACCATATTGTTGTTATTTTCAATGACGTTTGTACATACTTCATAAAATGTCGAGTAAAAATTCAGACTAGGTGGTTTCTAGCAATAAATAAACACGGTTTTTAAAACTTCTGGTCTCGCGTTTTGTACTTGTTTTTAGTTACCGGCATGAATACATAATTAGCAGTATCACAAAAGTGTAAAACGATGTATTCATAATTAGGGTGATTATTGTAAAGTGCTTAGCATTTAGTTATCCAGCATATTCGCTTCTATGGATTGTAAGCGTCAGGCAATCTCTGTCTTATATTTGTCATCAACTTAAAGTTTGGATGGATGTGTTGGCATGTTATCACTACTACCTTAGCACGACGAGGTGAAATAAAAAGATCAATAATGAACAAGATCGACACTAAGTAGTAGCGTTGTTAGTGGAGTGAATTAAACATCGAGAATATTATTTCAGAAAACAGTGAAAAAAATATGTAATAAAGACTACTGGAGTTCAACAGGTTACTTGGCTGAACATAGTAAGGCGAGTTTAATGTGCATTGATTTGTGCCATCTCACTTCACGCGCACAAAACGCACGCCTTATAGTTATAGTTGTAAGTCGACTCACCAGTTAGTACGGGTTTTCCATTTTGTTAAGCATCGAGAAGTCAGGAAGACAATAACTGGAGCAACATTATGAGCAAAATCAGGAAAGACGCATTTGTAAAAGCCAAAAGTCCAGGAAATCCTTTCGCTGGCTTGTACTCAATAGTAGGTAGTTCTATAAACGACATAGTTTGTTTGGTATAAAATTTAATATGTCTCAGCATCATATAGCTTTACCATCATACAAGTTATTATAGCAACCGAACTACTAATCCATTATTCCAACCACTATAAAGATTCTAATCAAGTCCCAACCTGACCAAATCGCATGTTGTGGTGAAGGGACCTGATATACGGCAAATGCGGTTACAGTATCGTCGTAAACGCGTAAATCATGTTTTCCTACATATGCTTCCATCTCAGGTCTTGGCTTAAGCATATCTTGAAATATCAGCCTAAATTTGCCGTGTTAATGTTTCTCTTTACTTAGCTATTCGCCGATTAAGAGTGCATCCTCTTATTTTGCTTAGCAAAGTTATCTCGGGCTGTTTTCTTAAAACCCTGTTTCTGTATGCATCCGTATCTATATCTGTGGGTTTGACGCCTCATAAAGTTTCTTTATCCCTTTGGTTATAGAACTTTCTGTCGGGCTATGTATTGTCAGCTAGGTATTTTATGTGGATGTTGTAAAGAAGACGTTTCTAATGTTTTCATGCGATACTAAACATTTTATTTATTTTAAAGGCTGGTTCAAGGAGTATGGCTAGTGATCAAATATGCTATACTTTAGTCGGTTTGTCATCTGAAGCAAAAACGTATACTGAGCAAAAACTCAAGGACGATTTGCAGAACAGCAATGATAATGTGAAAAGAGAGGCACTTAAGGAACTTATTCGGCTAATAATTAATGGCGAGAAGTTTCCCAATTTATTGATGACTGTGATTCGCTTTGTTATGCCGTCACAGGATCACATGATTAAAAAGCTGTTGCTTCTATTTTGGGAAGTTGTGCCTAAGTACAGTTCGGATGGAAAACTTCTACATGAAATGATACTAGTGTGTGATGCTTATCGCAAAGATTTACAACATCCAAATGAATTCATCCGTGGGTCAACTTTACGATTTCTGTGTAAATTAAAAGAACCTGAATTATTGGAGCCTATTATGCCATCTATTCAACAGTGTCTGGAACATCGACATGCATATGTTCGACGAAATGCAGTGCTGGCAATTTTCACGATATACAAAAACTTCGAATCGCTTATTCCGGATGCACCTGAAAAAATTTTAAGATTCCTCGAACAAGAGCAAGATTCTTCTTGTAAAAGGAATGCTTTTATGATGTTACTTCATGTCAGTCAGAGTACTGCTCTTGATTACCTTACTTCTTGTTTGGATGAAGTACAAAATTTCGGTGACATTCTTCAGCTCATAATTGTAGAGTTAATCTACAAAGTAAGTCCACACATACATATTTCTTTTTACTCTCTAGGTATGTCTTGCTAAACCTTCTGAAAGGCTACGGTTTATTCGTTGTATTTACAGCTTATTACAATCTAGTAGTGCTGCTGTGCGCTATGAAGCTGCAGGAACGCTGACAACACTAAGTTCCGCCCCGAGTGCCATTAAGGCAGCCGCAAGTTGTTACATTAATTTAATCCTGAAGGAAAGTGATAACAATGTGAAACTAATTGTATTATCACGTCTCACTGATTTACGTCAGTATCATGAGCGTATTCTACAAGACCTAATTATGGATATCGTGCAGATCATAAGTAAGTTTGTTGTCTTTCCATCTGATATATTCTCTCCTTATTATAGATGCATCTGACATGGAAGTTCGTCAGAAAACACTTAATTTAACGATGGATTTAGTGACAGCTCGTACAGCGGAAGAATTGATTAAGATATTTCGTAAAGAACTTATCAAAGCTTGCAGCACGAATACCCGGCCTTCAGCTTCAGCGAGTGATGGGGAAAAGTCTTCTGCAGATGATCAAAATTCTGACGAATCCGTTTACCGTTTTTCACTAGTGCACACTATATATGATATTTGCTTACGGTTTCCAGAAGTATTACCAAGCATTGTACCGACAGTTTGTGAAGTAAGTTTAATTTGACCGAATAAAATGGCTAGTTATTTTTTCCCAGTATGTTTTTATTTTTAGCGAAATTCAACTGCTTGATATGAGTTTGACCATTCAGTTCACTTCGCCTTTGTATCCAAGATCAATGGATGCGACAACGCTACTGCGACTAGTTCTGAGCTTTGTCACATCAGTCAGCCAACATAGAACGTAGCACAAACATGTATCGATCAAGTTACCACACCCTTCATTCACTGTCTCCAAACATTGGCTGCCGTTACCTCCTAATTGGAGTCCATAAAATAATCAATGATGAATTAAAATGACTCACATATGTAAAAGTTTCAGCTTTATCATTGCAACGTTTTGGTGCATATCAGACAGTTAATTAGTCGGTCACAAACCTTGTAGAACCTAACATATGTAGTGATCAACCGAATCTCTAGCACCTCATGTTCAGAAAGGGGGATACAAACGAGATTTATGTATTTTTATGTAATTTATTGTTGGCGTTTGGGTTGTTCCGAGACTTTTTTTTAACTGAAATTCCGACTCGAAGAGCTATTAAGTGTTAAAATCTACACCTTATGCTACGTTAGATTTGTTTGTTTTCGTCCCCAATTTATTCTAACAATGTGATTCTACTGTGACGTTATATGTATTTCCTCAGTTTGATGAAATTTCATATTCTCTTTGCATGATTCCTAGTTTAATTGTACTAGTTGCTAAATCGTTGTCTGTCGACCTGGAGTAATCACTGGTCGCTGGACATCAGTGTTTAAATTGTTTAAATTACTTCTAATTCGACCAAAAGGGATGCGTAACGAATTATTACTTGCGGAAATCATCAAAGTTTACTAATCTAATCAGGGATTACTTTTTATAGGTAAGTAATTTCATACACTATTTTGTACAATCAGTTGAGTTTAGCTGCCTGATTTTTATGGGTGTAATGAACGAAGTTATCTAAATGCTGTAAGTTATTTGCTGAAGTACCTTAAGAGGCAGTGAAAACTATTAGTTCTATGGAAAATAAGTTTTTCTGAACAGTAGACTTCTATGTTTTGATAAGGTGTCCATGAAGTGTGTTACATAGTTTCATTATGAATGAACACAAACCCAACTTGTCAGTGCATTAGTTTATTACATAAAAGTTTAGTTGGTCTAACAACTGTTGCCTTTATTTGTAATTTTCAAGATTTTGACCTACGAAGAAATTGGCGATACACGAGCTGCAAATGAGGCTTGTAAATTTTTACGTGAAATTTTGGAGCGATTTCCTCAAAGAAAGGCTGACATTTTGGAAAAATTGATGCAAATTTTTCCATCGATTATCGGCCGTGAAACTCTTCGACATTTAGTTTGGATTTTTGGTGAATATTGTACTACTTATGAAGAAATTAACTCCTTTATGACTCTTATTCGCCAGGTAAGTTTGACTCGTTACAACGCTCTCAAATCCTTTATTTTTTGGAACTCCAGTAACTTCTTTCATCACAGTATTATCTTCGTCGAAAGCAACCGTGAAAAAGTCAGTTGAGTTTTCGTGCCTTATTATGAATTGACATTCAGTATTATTTCCAGACTGCCGTGTTAGAAGGTTTATCATTGAAAGACCATGTGGATTAAATACTGATTTAAAGACGAATCCTGAAGTAACCTAATTAAACGTTTTTAGAGTGCTAATCCAGCTTTCACTGTTTTCGTAAATCGTTGATCAGGGTACTATTCAATGATTGTTACACTGGTACTTATAAGTTAGTGGTTAAAGCGCCTAGCTTCCAACTAGTATATAGCAGTCCCTAAACTTGCCTTACCTATTTAATTTTGCGTAGTTGGGCAGCTTCACTAACCCTCAAACAAAGTGTAGCCCAAAATCGTACTTGATAAACGAGTTGCATTGAATTAAATATAATTGTGTCAGTATGCTTTCTAATGGATTGTGTATACTGGAAAATCTTTTGATTGCTATCATACTTATCAACTGTGGTCTCTTCGTACTTTATGACTAAGTTTCAATGTTTTTATATAAACGTTATGGAATTTTCTGCATATGATAGCAACACCCTTAATCTGTTGAAGCAAACAAACATAGCTGAAAACATTTCAAGGAACTCACAGATACATAGCACTTTTTTCTATTCGGAACACCTTAAAAACTTTAAACGAGTTAAATCGTTTATCCTAATTAAGTACAGATGACTTTTTGTACTAATCAGTGGATCGATAGCTAACCCAAAATCTTGTTTGTTTAACATTTACATAAACTAGTTAGTCTACCGATGTAGAGTAGTAATTTCTCAACTAGTGAAACGCTAAATGATTGTTTGGCTTTGAATAAAATATGATAAAAATCCAGTCGCGCACCATAAAAGGATTGATAGTTCTGTTAAAGTTTACATCGCTAGTAATTGAATACAGTAGCATTTTGAAATAATGGAATCTGATTGTCTAGAAAAGATTGGGTATCGACGCTAGGTAGTATCTGTCAAAAGGTTATGCCGATTAAAAACAGTTTGTAATCTGCACATAATTGGGATGAATTATTATTGTTATTGAATGTGCAACAAAAAAGTTTCATGTGATTGTATGTAAATGTTTGACTGCCATATTTCGGGTCCTCACATCACAGTAATGCTATTCACTAGCTTGTAGAATTTATCTCTAGTTGCATTCCGCTTGCAACCATTGGAAACAGCATAGTTGTAAGCTGAAAATGTCACCTATTTTCTTCCCAGTTACTTCCTTCCGTACAAAATTCTCTTGAAAATTTACATGAAGTATACGTTTTGAATTGACATATCAAGAACTTATTTGCAACACGGTGAAAAGTCTCAAGCCGACTTTGTCATTAATACTGCTTTCCAGTTTAGTGACCGAAATCTGTTTGTTGTCCGATCCACATTAGCATGTAAACTTTGTGGATAATAAAGTTGCTTTGCATACGCAGCTTCAGAAGGGGTAGCATTTTAGACAAAACATTCAATATCTCAAGGGGAATCAGAATACTAATTATGTGGGATGAAATAAATGAAATTCATAGTCAAAATACAATAAACATGAGAAAGTGGAGCTATTAAACAAGATTTGACTAATAGAATATACACAACATACAATGTGCTACGGTACTTCAAATGAAAAATACGAAATCCTGTTCATATGACCCTTATGGAGTCAATCGAAGTCGAAGATTATTTGTTAGGTTTCAAGATGATAGAACAGAATTGGAACTGCTACTGAAACCATTACAAAGACCATTCATATCCCAGACTGCTGAGACAAACTGCTAACACTCTAACATATGTAGCGAAATATTGACTGTTCACTTTCCTTGGACGTTTGTCCTAATATTATTAGGCCGAAACACAACGAAGAGTCACGATCAAATTTTTAAGCTCAGATAAAATCTATATAAATTAGAATTTATGGTTTGTATATGTCATATGATCTCTAAATACATAGTTATTCCTACTAAACTCTGTATTCACTTGATTCACTTTTTGGCTATCATTTTATCAAGGTTATCGGCGAGCTACCACTTGTTGATGAGGAGTTACGCAGACAAGCTAGTCAAGTGAATTCAGTGGATTCGTCTGCTGAAAACCAAAGTCAGCCGTCCGTGCTAATTTCAGGTGGTGTAAATGTTGGTGTCAGTCCAGCACAACGTGTTACTGCAGATGGGACATACGCAACTCAGTCTGCTTTTACTCTACGTAGGTTACGTAAATCAATATATTTGGTTTTACAGTATAATGTATTTAGATGTGTGTTTTCAAGTTTCAGGCGTCATTGGCTGTAATCAAAACCCCGCATTTCTGAAATTTTTTATTTCGAAGTTTCGCTAAGGATGGTATTTGATATGTCATCGTCTATCGTCAAAATCATCAGCTAAGTATTCACTTACTTAGCCAAGATTATCTTCGCCATATTATTGTGTTCGTAATGACTCAGATACCCAGAACACAAGAAGATACCGTGCAAAATTGTGAGAAAAAGAAAACTAACAGATCCAATTGGTGTAACTGATACAATAGGGCTTCAACACAGTTGCTGTATATTAAAAATATATAACTAGACAAAAACATCAGTTTATATATATATTCACAACATAAACCATATAACAAAGCCCATGCAAATACTTGTTTTTTCTTCTGTTCAACTAGCAAAACTAAACAGCTTGTACATCCTACAAAGTCCAACTAGATAATCATATTAGTTATATTAACAAGAGAATTTAGAGCATATTAAGCAATACTTAATATTAGTATAGCTCATTTATCAAGAACAGGTTTATTAACTCGTTTTTTAAAAGCATTTTGTGTGCAAGGTAGTGATAATACGTGGATCTTTGAATTGAAGTAGATGAAACGGTGTTAGAACTTCAGCCAGACAGACATCATCAACATAGAGTCTGGCACAGGCATGGGTTAGCTCAAGATACCATACCTCATTAGCAAGATAAGATGAAAATAACAAGATGAACGCATGACCTGTTTGTTGAATGCTGAGTTCTTTGATCACGAAATCACTGTTCCGAAATTAGGATTGCTCAGTCAGACAGAAGGCTACTTTTTGCTTATAATTTAAACTTTATGTTTACGAACTGTTGACGTTATCATTTATTGTTTTCCGACATATTTATTTCTAGCTATAGCTGAAATTAGGCGTAAGGCGTACAACACCTTGTAAGTAACCCTAAGATCTGCTGTCATGTGTTTGGGTGTAGTGGATATCATGATTCAATGAGTGTTACACCTTGAAACACTAAGTTCAATGGTTTTAACATGTATAGTGCATGTTGGTTCATCCCTAAAGAGCGTGTATGGTAATTGAATTTAACTGTAGGACATAAAGAATCTATCACACGTTTTGGCGTTTAATGTTTTACTCTAATGAACGCGTGTTTAAAAACATTATCGTCGAATTGTTTAAAATATTTGTTCTATGAAACAGCAAATGTATTCACGTTAGAAGTGATTACCTACTGATTAGTTGTTCTGTTTCCTTTCTAAAATTATTTAAGGTTCAAATAAAGATTCTAGCTCAGTGAATGCAATCAAACGACCTGTCCTACAAGCAGCTCTATTCGAATCACATTATATGCCTGGAGTTGTATTATCTGCCTGTTTAGTGAAATTATTTTATCGATATTCATTGCTTCTTAAACAAGAGCAAACGAAAACCGTTAAAGATGAATGCACAAAAACTAAAATAATTTCAAAAGAAAATTCATTCGCTGCTGAATGTATGCTTATCATTGCGAGTATGATACATTTGGCTACTAGTCAACTACTTCCACATCAAGTGAATCCTGACCACTTAGATCGTATGTGGATTTGTCTAAAGGTAGGGTAATTTTTGATTTTATGAAGTTTTTGTTTTGATTTTTGTTTACTTGTTTTATTGATGCACGATGGTAAATCGTCTTACTTCTATGATGATTAATGTATAATATAATAGTGGTAGTTATAATTGGGCAAAATCGGTGACCGAAATTTCTCTCCTTATAAACGAATTGTTCGATTTTTACGTGACATTTATTTAGCGAATGTCAATCGTCAACATGAGATTCAAATTCAATTTGTACTACCTTTCAACTCTAATAATATCAAATAAATTATCTTTTTAAGATGAATACCTTTCTATGGTTATAATGACCAACTTTGCTTTCATTGTCGATTTATTAATATGAACGGGTGGCCAGTATAACTCAGTACAGTCCTGACATTTAAAGCATTATGTAAGCAATATAAAGTCACAATGAAATATTTTCTACTTGATTGTTTTATAGGGTGCTAGTAATACTGAGGTTTGATAATGCATTTTCTGAAAATTCTACATTTGAGTAGAAGCTAGGTGTGTTAACTTCCCATAGTACTTCGAAACCCAGGATCTATTCAGACAACTCACTGGACTTGGTGGCTCAGAATCTTATCTGTTGACGATTCTTCCTGGACTAAATAAACGGTAAGGAGTATTAGGGAGTGGAAAACATATTTAATGTCAGTTCTATTTCTTCTGGGATTCTCTATGATTAATGTTGCGTAATAACGCCATTTTTGGCTTTACTTTTTCATTTGTACAGATCTTGGCTGATCGTCGTCCTGAAGTCTTAGAGGCTTTCGAACATACATCTCGTGGCTGTCTTACTGAAATGCTTGCATACCAAGAGTCAGAACGTAAAAACAATGCTAAAGCTCGTAATCAAGGCTTAATTGAGCATCAAAAACAGTTGGCTGAGTTGAATCGTGCGGACGCGCCGATCAAATTCTCTCTACTTACTGGCCAAACTGAGTTCGGTGACACAGTAGATCGTTTTGACTTAACACTTAGTCAAGCGCTGGGTGCAGGTGGAAAAGGCAGTGCTGGTGATGCTTATGCTACATCTAAACTCAGTAAGGTAAGGTAAACAAATGTTATTTTTAAGAACATGGCTGTTTTTAGCTACTCACATCTTAATATTATTGGAAATAGTAGATTTAATTAAGGCTCCTTCATTTCTACAACCTAAACAGGTGCAGTCGCTCATTGGTTAAATCACTCTCTCTTTAACTACTAGATCCCACGTTCAAACCTTTCTACCCACTTTGGTGTGGATGGCTGGTTAATGTCACTAGTACTCACATAAAAGTGTATCTCAGGGTTACGTCCATGTATCTGTACTCGGTGGTCAAGTTACAGAAGTTTTTAAAATACCTATAGTCCTACATAATTGTTTCCAAATCAACTTTTACTCCTATCAAGTGATCATATAAACCACGCTTCATGTGATGAATTTTTTTATAATATCCAGGTCAGGCAGTAATAAACAGTGTATAGCTTTGTAGGAATATGCAGGATATGCATATTAAATCACCTAAACAACATGAGATCAATGAAATGAATAACTGTAGTCGAGGTAATCGAATTAACCATAATATTGAGAATAAATAAACATTGTAAGAAAAATAAAGAAAAACATATGAGGGAATACTTCAACTGAAGATCCAAAAGAAGGTAAAGAGTAAACCCGTGATTGATTGTGTACCATGCCACCCAGTATATTCTTCCAAGTGCTTACTACCTAGATTATAACCATTGATCATGTTGCTGTGATAGCTGATTTGAATTTCGCAAATTTTTTTTCATTTGCAAGAAGATATTAGACATACAAGTTATTCAGCGTTCTATCCACTAAGTTCATTCGGTTACGGATTTGAAACCCTCTCTGTCTACTTCAGTTTGGACACCTGAATAATATTACTTGTTCACAAACACAAAATATAACTCAAGACCGATTTCATAAACCTTATATCTGATAGTTCAGTTATATAATGATAATTTATTATTATTATTAATACTCTGCTGTTATCAAAATTATACATTTATTCAGTGAATCAGTTATTGTCTTTTCAAAAATTTTTAGGTTCACCAATTAACTGGCTTTTCTGATCCTGTATACGCAGAAGCGTATGTTCATGTGAATCAATTCGATATTTTGTTAGATGTATTAGTTGTTAATCAAACTAAAGATACACTGCAAAATTTAACATTAGAACTGTCTACATTAGGCGATTTACGTCTGGTTGAAAAACCTAGTCCATTAACAATTGCACCTCAAGATTTTGCTAATATCAAAGCAAATATTAAGGTTAGTTTGTATTCTATACTATGTATAATTTTTATTAAATATTGTATTAAAGATATCATAAAATTACTGAGAAATACAAGAAATTATCACAATGAAGTTTTCTATCTTCCTGCTTTTTAACGGGTATCTAAAAAAAGAAAGTTTTGGGTTTTGGTGATAAAAACCTATTAGCGAAATCAAAAAAAGCTTTATAGTAATATTATGACTTACAGTTACGTTTCGTAAGTTGTAGACGATTTAATTATTGATTATATTATATATTTATTTATTCTATTACTTATTTACAATGTGCACAATTGAATATCGAATTCACTATCTTATTAATTTACATTTCAACCTAATTAAATTAATTGAATTTTATATGTGTTTTCAGGTTTCTTCCACAGAAAATGGTATCATCTTTGGAAATATATCCTACGATGTTCGGGGTTCATCTGGCGAAACAACTTGCATTGTGTTAAATGATATTCATATTGATATTATGGAGTACATTATGCCAGCCACTTGTACACCAAGTGAATTTCGTCAAATGTGGTCTGAATTTGAATGGGAGAATAAGGTGAGCATCAAATTCATAACAAAATGTTTGAACGTTGAATAAATGTATAAACAAAGTTATCACATCAACTTATTCTTTTGAGTCATACTCAATCGATTCATGTTATAGCTTATTTCGTTTCATATAAATTTATGCTCAATTACTTATTTGGGCTCTTTGTGATCATTTTAGGTTACTGTGAATACACAAATCAAAGATCTGTTCATCTACTTATCTCAAATTACAAGCCATACGAATTTACGTTGCCTAACACCTACCGAGGCTCTTTCGGGTGATTGTGATTATCTTTGCGTGACGCTTTATGCCAAGACAATATTTGGCGAACATGTTTTAGCTAATTTATGTTTAGAAAAAGCGGAAGCTGATCAACCTGTAACTGGTCATGTACGAATTCGAGCTAAAACACAGGGTATGGCTGTTACAATGGGAGAAAGAGTACGTTCAGTTTAACCCCTCTGATAGTCAATATCATGTACTTTAATGTGAGATGAATGTAGTTTAAAAGGAAACTATTTAGTAGTATGCTGTAATAAATCAAGTTTTATATTTTCTGGTTGTTTTATTGTATTTAAAGTGAGTGACTTGGTAAATGGTTACCAGTTTAATTCATATATCTCTGTCGTTTCCTCTTCGAATCCAAAAAAATATTAATTTTCTTGTCATATTCCTATATTGTATTATTTATTCATAGGTAAGGAAATAAAACCATTGACAACCTCAATTATTAATCTGATTTACATGACTCTTACAGTTCTAGGATAAGTTATTATTAGAATAATATGATTAATCCAGTTTGCTCATATTATCAATAAAATTCACCATAAATTCGAATACTTATTTGTTTGTATAATATACATAAATACTGGTACACACAGATAAATAAGTGAAGTCTTAAACAGTTGAATAAATCAATCAGAATAAGTAAGCGACTATAGTATATAGTGGGACATATAATTTAGCTAGAAATACCGGCGAAACTATAATTTATGAACAAATCAGTCAGATTTGAGATGGCTGATCTTGGATTTCGACGTGTAATTCATCCACTCATTTGGCTAAATAAGATTTTGTCATAATAGCTGATGTCAGTTCGCGATGAAAACATTAAATCTGATTTCTAACCCTAACGTTCAACTGTAAATCTTAATCTTAATTCCTCATACTAATACATAATCCTCGTTTAACCCTATTAAGTAGGTGGACATTCCAAGGTCATTTTAGTGTTGCTCTAAGGTCGTCCATAAATTATCGTCTTACCGAAATACCATCTGAAAGATTTCCTTCAGTTAAGCGATTTCCTCTCACTTTTTCTAATGTAAAATAAAACCACAACAAAATCCCTACTTGCTTCTATTCGGAGTCATCCTTTAAATTTATAGAAAAACTAAGGATGTTGCCTAAATAAAATGACAAAGTTCATTGTCATTATTATCACTTACCACGTGTTAATTCACAAGTTAAACTAGAAAACTTATCGTAAACCGAATCACGAATAAAGCACTATCTTTTCAACTTCTTTAAACTTTAAATAATCTCCTTTATGCATTGAATCCTACCTTTTGATTGGAGAGTATGAATTGACTGGGATTCTTTAATTACTTTTGGAAATATCGGTGCCTATTGTCATCCGAAGCGATGGGGGTGTATATCTTGTAACATAACTTATGTATAGCACTATTCTGACTAAGTAGTATATTACCACTGGTTTATTTTGCAATTCCTATCTTTCTATTGGTTTCACATTTCTGTTTCATAGGTTAGCAGCTGTCAAAAGAACTGGCCAGTTAATAATTCCCGAACCCCAAGTGACAATACTACAAAACATCAAGATGATGAGAATTCCGATGAAAATGTAATACGTTCTCATTCACCAGTTAATAATACATTGGTGAATAGTCACTAACTTACTTGCTTTGATTTTTTTTCATTCTTTTGTCTACAGGGAACTCGGTTTATTTCTCCCTGTATTCGCTTATTCCTACTCAAATTGTTTTGTTGTAAGCTGAACTGGGTGAAACCTTTTAATAATCTGCATTACGTTTTACTCATGAGTGTTCTAAGCACTACGTCTTTGTAATAGTTACTACTCTGTTTTGGTTCTTTTATTCACTCCCCCTTTTTTGTAACTTAGTCTAATATAAATATTTTTTCTGAGATTGCTTTAATTTCCTTAAATACTGCTGAAGTTCTACGCAAAATTCAGTTGAAAGGACTGAGCTTAAGTTATGTGTCACGTTTTCAGTCTGACTTAAGATATGATCAGTGAAGTTAAATATTACAGGAAATTTCTGTCTTGTTCTCAGTTAAAATACAAAATGGTTTAAAATAATCCGCTCGATTAACGTACATAATACAGCGTGAATGACAAACTTCTCATAAAAAGTTTAAATCGAGAAAAATGTAATATTCATTTAACACCCTAAGTGTTTATGGTACTGCACAACGTGTAACATCCTGATCCAATTGAGTGGTTACAGAAAGTTAAAGCACAACTTGAATAACTGGACTACAATATTGTAAACACTAAATGTCTGTGGTTCCCGTTCTGAGATGAAATCAGAGGTTGAAAATCTGGTTGCAACCAAGTATCTGAACAGACAGAAGATACTTTAATTCCCTACAAGTGTTATTGATTTAAAGGTCTGGTTTAAGAATCATGCAGATAGTAAGAGTTTACTTCCGGAACGTTACTGGAATTTCCTTTGGAAAACAACAGTTGTCTGTCACATTTTGATTTCAACTAATAGGCTTTCAATTTAGTTTAAATATGATCATCTTGCTAGTCACTTTGGAACAAACTTTCTACTTATCACAGGTTATCATATTGGATTTTCTCAAACACAGTATCGTATTTTCACAGAATAAAAATAATACCCTTGTAGGATACATGGATACTAAAAACAAGAATCGAGGATATAGTTTCAGCCCAGTCATAATTTCGAACTTATACAAAGCTACGGAATATACCGTGGAAAGACGAAGATTTTGATAAACACAGCATTGCACAAAGTACTGATAAATCAACATGGCCATACATATACAGGTTTCTTTGAAGCAGCAAATGACAGTTTTATACCGATTTCGAAAAAACCAAGTTTTTGTTTAGCATGCATAAGTGTTGTTCTGTGACGGTTCTTGACACTCGATGGTTTTCAGGGTAACTAATTTATCAAGTAAGTCATTTTTCACGAAACAGGTGCTAGTGTTCAGAGCGACAAAAGTTCCCCAGTTAATACATCTAGCTCGAAGACCTCAACAGCGTCACAAAAATAATCATGAGCTGCAAATTTCCAGTTAATAAAAATGTTCTGGAACTTGTCAGTTACCTTAAAGTAACATTCTGGTTTATCAAATATTATTACAGAATCAGCTGTTCGATAAAATCAAATGTTACAAATGAGTTTATTTGATGAAGAGTATGGATCACATTAGTTGCTTTATGCATAATTCCTATCATATTCAAAGCCACAGTTTAATGGCTAAGTAAATTTCTGTTGTTAGTTTTGTACATCAATGTGAACCAAGTACATTCAACAAACCATTGGTCAGCTTGATTTAATTAACAATGCAGAGGGAGAAGTATTCCGGATCATTTTCACCATCCACCTAGGGATGTGATGTGACTTTAAAGTCTAGAATAATCCCTTGCACTTTGTTCGTATATATAAATTTGTATCGCTTACCTGGAGCATAATGTTTCTGTCAGTGACCACAATCAAAACCATTCAATCAGAGTTCGCTAAATTATTATTGTTCATAATTAATAGAAAACATGATTTTGCGAAATGTTCCCTACTTTTTATCCCTATTAAAACAATAATAACCAATGACGCGATTGTTAAGATCATTGATTTCACTAAAGAAACGTTGACGAATAGAATTTAAGTTGAAGTCAGAAACTTTTTAAAATAAAAAACCCACCGATGTGATAGCTCTGTTCTCTTTCGTATAACATCCAACCTGTATTTGTATAGTGAGCGATCGCCGAGTTGATTGATGTACGGTTAACGTATGAAATTGATTTTTCTCTAATCGTTCGTGGAACGTAATCACATCTTCAAAAGAAGTAATTACATAGCTTAGTCAATTCGTTATATCTGTTAGTTACATATGTTCAATCGTATGAGTATAGTAATTATGTGTTCATAGAGTAAGTTATTGATTAATCGATATTAAATACCATTCAGGTGGATTTATACAAATCTGACTGTAAATGAATCATGTAAAATGTGGTGTATTCATATGTGAGTTTAGCTTGTTTCAGTAGTCAAATAGATCGATATTAGCAGTTTTTGTATTCTCACTAAGCAACTTCAAATTGTGGGTTTCAGTATCAAACACTAGTCGGTTAAGCTCTTAGCAGACACAATAAGTTACAAATATAATAAAAAAAGCAAACCCATATAACGCCGCTAAAGTTACGGTATACATTGAGTAAAGGACGTTACTTGACAGTATTGACTTAAAACTCATTGGTCTCTGAACTGTGGGTATTTATTGTGTACGTGTGGATTAACTGTTTGAGTCATCATCTTCACGGTAATTTAACCGATACAGATGATTCATATTTTCTTCATTATCGTACAATGAAATTGTTATTTTTACTTTGCATATCACAAGTATGGCTTTCATATCCTAAGGACCTCATAGTATACTGCCTTCATTAAAGATTAGGAACTTCAAGTGCGAAATGTTTAATAGGTTACTTGTATTCACCTCCTAGTTTAATAATTAAGAATGGCGTGTTTTCTGTAATGGAACTGAAGATGGTTATATTAAATTCAAGACAATTGGTGAGTGAAGAAATTATATTATGGCTGCTTGAAGCTCATCTAGGACTTTTCATCATGAAAATTTCTAATTCCTGTTGACAGATGAGTGCACTAGTTGAACATTTGTTTTGTCATGACACGTGGATAACACTTGAAGATTATAAGTGTTCAATAAGAAGTACGTTCAAAATAATGGCCTTATGTAGCATAATTACCTATTAAGCAAATTTAAAGTCAGTTGCGAATGATAAGTCAGTCAACCAAATTAGGCTGAAATATCTGCAGTGTGTATTAACCATACTTAATATCTTAATCTGCTATACCAGTTTTGACTAGTTTAATTGTATTGCCTAATATATAACACCTTTAATCGCAATTACTTCCGATCAATTTTATCTGTTACAATACTGTAGAATAGATTTTAAAATCCTAAAATGAATTCTTCGACACAGTTCTTACTTTCCTGAAAATTTGATATGATCAATGCGGTGAAATTCTCGTCTGCCTTGATTACTGAAAGCGACAAGACTCAATTTTAGTTAAAAAGTTTGTCTACTTTTAAATAAGTTAGTAGCATAAGTTTATATCTTATTTTTATAACAAGGAATAGTTTATTGATTCATTTCAAAGTATCAGGTCCTGAAGGCAATCGATTTCCTTACGAACTACTAGTGAGATCATATACACACATAATATGCCATCAAAATACATCTACCGAGGGTCAGGATTCTTCCTAATTTAGGGAACGTATACACCCATTTTAATGACGACAAAAGTTGCTGAGACAAAAAGTTATAACAAAGAATTTCATTACTGATTGTAAATTGATTGCCATTAAAATTCTGAAGTGGTGAGATTTCATTTCAGCTTGTGCAATGCCTTGTCTATAAAACGAACATTTACCTATAGGCTTTAAAAATCTTAATATAAGAAGTAAATTATTCTCTTATTCTTACTAAATTTCCACGGTTCAGTAGCAGTAGTCATTCCAAGCAGAAAACCATCTAAAAATTAAGCACAATTTTTTCCCCCTCTATATCAAATACAACTTCCCTTCTGTGATATTCCAGAATAATTTATCACTCAACTCTACTCTATATTCACAGTTCTTCAATATACTTCAAGCTGACAATTATCATTCATCTGTAATCTATTGTCTCCTTGATTTATTTGCTTGGCTTCCATTTTATCATAGATTTATCCATTATAACTATCAATACGATTGTCTAGCTTTAGTAAAGTAATATCATCGAAAAGAAACTTTTCTTCTTTAAATAGTCCTTATTTCTTCTTCAATGTGACTCTGTGGTCTCTAGTTTTTTAAAAAAAACTGAATGTTTGGTGTATTCCATAGGAAGAGAAGAGTTTTTTAATCTATATATCTGTTTAATCAATAAGCTGACTCAAATATTCATCATATTTTTTAATTATTAATTGAATGACGAACTACTTCACATAAAGAACTATTAATAAGATGAAAAATTTTAGTTTTTCAGAAGTTTAATGCTACTGAGACATACTTGTAATGACTATAACCGACTGAAATTAATTTTCATTTACAGGAATGTGATCTATTATTGTAATGATAGATCAACACTATGTTGGACAGTAACATATCAGTTGAAATGATCACATTTATCAAGGCCTACAATAAAAAGACTAAGTGTAACCGAATGTTTACGTAAGAGTCTGTCTATATACATGTAAGTAGTAAATTATTGTCAACATTGTAGCTAAGTAAATAGTTGAACTTCTGACTTTATTTAAATGAAATCAGTTATATGTTAGATTCTACTTTGTACTTCCAAGTCATAATACAGAAATAATTTTAATTATGCAGGCTACAAATAATCTAAATTTGTGTACAGCTTACTTTTTTGTATATTCAGTAGTATTTATCTTATCACATTGTTATTTGCACATTTTCACATAGTTTGATTGTTTCATTAAATTCTATAAAGCCAAGGGTACATTTTAAAGTGCATCTCATTTGATTAAAATATTAAGCATTATTAGTCTACCACTTTCAAGAGCGACGAATCCTTTCAGCTACCAAATGAAATGTAATAACCAATTTAAAGAACTTAGCAATGTAGTATTCCATATCTATGTCTTAGGGTATCTGGTGAAATTGTTTTTGGGTATCCAATTGAATTATACGTCGTCAATTTTGTAGAAACTTACATCCATTCAAAAGAACATACTTTCATTGTTCAGATGCACTGTTCATAAGATAATCTGATCTTCTGATGAAACAGATTAATTGTGCGTTCAAAAGAATTATACCAACAGCAATGCTCAAAATATTTCATTGGATTTTGGCTGCTAAGCATATAATGTAAATAATCTCTTCTCGAAATGTTAACTAGATAGTCTAATAA